TTGTATTTGTCCATGTTAAACGGAAGTAGCTTAAACTTTCACCATTCAAAAGCGCAGCCTAAGTCACGTTGCAACACATTGTGATCTTCATGGCAGTCGATTACCCGCCATCTCTTGACGTCATCGGCAAAAAGCAGGAAATTTGACTTTATGACACTCACATGGTCATTAATGAAGAACAAGAATAACTACGGTCCCAACACCTATATTTGTGGAGCATCTTAGTCCACACCAGTTGGATCAGAATATGAAAAACTCGAACCTGAAGGCGCCGCTGAAACAGGAAGTTTCCGATTCATCCAAGGGCAGGGTTTTCAACTCTTATGCTTGCAGCTTCTGGAGAAGGATGCGGTGATCCACGCGTCGAATGCATTGGAAAAGTCGAGGTAGATGACATCAATGCCGGTCCCACTGTTGGTTATCGCGTTCCAACTGCCACGGGCAAGCAGAAGTTTGGTAGTACATAACCAACAATCAATCAACCACAGAAGTACATCAGCCATGTGAACTGATGCCACGCTGTCAAACAACCATGATGATCTGTGGAATAATAATACGTAGGAGAGAAGTTTGACTTACCTTAAGACGTTAATGCCCTCAGCAAACATTCGGGGTCAAGGCGACTACGCCTTGTGAAGACAACATACCGTCACAAATAGCTGGTTATAGTGCAAAGATAAGGCGACATCCGTGAGAAGGCTTACTTGCGGCCTTCACTGTCCCACGTACATGAATTATTCTGACGGAATCCGTGTTGATCCTGTGCTATAATGTTAGACCTTTTAAACTAGCCCATTACAGCCTCAGCTATGATCAATTCCATCACCTTAGAGAGCACCGGGCGGAGAGTCACTAGGCGATGGTTGGATCTGAATGGCTACTACTTTTGAAAATCGGAGTAAGGATGTCTTGCTTACACATACAAGGGACCTGCTGTTCGTCCAGGCATCGTTGAAAAAATCTCCTTAATGGTTCAGCCATCCTCGTAGCTGCCACCTGCAGTGCTTTGGGGGAATGTTGTCAGCTCCGGGGGAACTATGGGTGGGCAACGACAGCAGCTTCCTCAAATTGGACGCTGAACTATAGGTGACGTGTGTAAAGACTGGCATCTGGGAGAATAGGACAGGTATATTACAAATGCTTGGAGCACATCGGAAAATTGGGGCATATCATAACCGTAAAACGTTGGCTGCATCCTCGGCGGTTAGAACACATCCATCCGCTGCTATTAAAGGGGGAACATCAAGGTTCACATTCTGTAGGCTGTTTATATATCTGCACGGAATCCATTTGTTAACACAAACTTTTCTGTTGGACTCTGCTGATGTAGTGATTCGTCCTCGCGCACACATGTGCTACAGTGATTACGAGGCACAACACAGATACTCCAGCTGCCACGGCCAGGGTTCGCTCTATACACATACCACGCAGCGTCTCTTACTCTCATGTGTTTTCGGGTTCTATTCCAAATGAATGATGGTGCCCTTGCAGAACGGAGGGGCTTGTTTACCAATGCAGATTTAATCAGACCACTGAACTTGCCAGTAAAATCCAACATAGGACTGTCAATAGAACAGTTGTCCGGATACTCTCAACTGGCATATTCCAAAAGTTCTGCCAGTATGTCTAAGTGAGTGATTGTTCGAAACAAGTTAGTATATTCTTGTGGATACTCCGCATAACACACAAAGTCGTAATTTGTGGTTACATGGTCACATCGCCCCAAGGGGCTCTCCATCCTTGATTTTCCAATCATGAACTCGTCGTTCGTGAGCACTAAATCAAGCACAGATGGTTTATTTCTGGCTCCGAATGGGGTGGGTGAACTGACATGGCTGAAGAGCGGAATGCTTGCAACATACTCTTGCAGCTCGACCTTAAACAGATCGTTGGGGTACGCCGGAACTTCCAAATCATGAAGATTGAAGTCCTCGTAAGACCCTTCCCAAGGATAATGCCGGGCAGCAGTTCATTTCTTGGGAGGACATTAGAGGACGATAAACCACGGCCAAAAGCAAGTGTCGTTACGTCTCAGTAGCAGATTGCACCAGCGTGAGTCTATGATCAAAGTTTCCGGATAGGCCACCGGTGCGCCTTGCAGGTCATTGCGGTAGTATTATATTACCCCTCTGCCTTTGTTAGGCCGATCTTTTCGGAAAAAGGGCATACCATTAATCGCGACTTCGGCATGGGTAATTTCTGCGTGCAACAGATTTCCGTAAGGAGTATGAGGTCCCAGGTATGCTCCGCTTGACGTAGCCACCGTTCCGCAAGCTTGTTCAGGAGACCTTGTGCATTGGTGTACATGCAGGAATGTTTCTCTGTTTTTAGCAATGAATCGTGGGATGAATGTTTTGGATAAAATGTTGTGCTGACCGATAAAAAGTCGGAAAGTAATGGTTTTTCGAGGGGAGAATGACTAACTCATTTGTGTTCTATTCATGGATCCTACCATTACCTCTGCTTCTCTCTTTGTGTGTCAGGTGTGGGGTGTGTTTACCAGTTTTGTTGGTTAGTTACTTGAAGTTATCCGGTAATTGGTCTGACTAACTGACTGTTCTTGTGCGTTTGCTTAGCAGATGCTGCTTTCATCCGGAGCTCTGATGGAAGGCTTCTGCGGCGGGCATACCATCCGCCCACTACCATTGCTGACACTTGTCTAGATTGAAGGACCACATTTACAATCCTCGAATCACATCTATTGTAAGTTGACTACCGGCGCAGCCTCGAGATTGTTTGCTCCATGAAGTTTTCCAGGGAGAGTGTCTCGCGAAGTTACCACCATTGTTCCTGGTCGTGAGTGGTCGCTTCGTGCTCATCATGACTTCCAGCCTCGGGAACAACGTGTACAATGTTGGTCCAGGCTACAGCTCCCTTCCGGTTTTCGTCAAAGTAGTGTTTCCCTATCTGCGCTCGCTCCATGGAATATCTGGGAACAGGCAGAAGGAACATGACTCATTGCGGAGGCGTGCTGTCGATAACAGGACAGCTTCTGCTTCATTGGCAGAAGTCAGCATAAAGAGGAGAAGTTTTGGTTCACCGTATTGCTGTGATTTTGGGTGACGAGTAAGGCGTGTCAAATTTACAGGCTTAGATACAACACATATAGTGTCACATATGGAGTTCCAAAGGTTAACGTCATTGAGTTGTTTTCCTTTTAAGGAATTTGTCCTTGATTCTAGAACTTTGGTGCAGATTACCGCTGGTATACTACGTGTAACTCTTGTTGAGGTCAAGTGACCAGCTGGTCTGTATACAGTCGATGGAAGCTGTTTGTATACAACTTCGTGTTCTTCGTTTACTATGGGTCCAGTGGGAGTGACTGAAGATCTTGGTTTCCAGTCACCTTTGGCAGCAACCAAGTTCCAAGCATCACTGGCGTCGAAGTCCTTCTGCATTTTCGGGATGGTTTGGAGGGTGGACGAGGCCATGACCGTGCTCATTACAATCGGACTGACGGTGGTTGTTCCAGGCCTATTCGAGCAACTGGTAGTATTGGCGTTTAATGCCACAGATGATCCAGTTTCATTGCGCTGCCTAGCTTTCTTCCTCAGTTTTAATGTACTGCTAGATGGGAATGACTGGGATGTATTCTCGGTCACGTTTTCCACAAATGAGTCACCTTTGGTTGTCCTCATTTGTTCAAACATTGCCATTAGCCTTTCGCACTACTGTGATAGTTCAAGTACAATCTTTACAAGTGGGATTACTATACACAATGAACAGAAGCACAGTGAAACTGGTTTACTATGGTTTAGCTTCAACTGGTTCAATGTGAGCTTGGAACATTTGCGATGGTACCTGCCTTGTCAATTGCTACATTGGATCCCTCTCCGTACATAATTATGGCATGATTTAATGTCACAAACTACTGTCGATCTGGAGGCGGGAACATAGGCTTTGGTGGGTGGTTACGGCCCATTGCGTCGGCCGATGGTAATCCCACAGAGACCCGAGTGCTTATGGTTTCCTGCCGGTCGCGTACGCGCTGAATTGCCTGCATGTTCGAGGTGGTCACGCTCTGTGCGTCGGGCCCAATCGGGGCAGGTGTATGAGGCTAGATGGTTCACGGGGCAAACAGGGCGATACGGACACAACTTGTACGATAGCTACTTGGATGAACGGTCC